CCAGAGTGACCTTCCTCAGCGGACACGCCCCGTCCACCTGTTCCACAGGTGCGCCCGGCAAGATGGCGGCGGGGCGAGGTTCTGCGGCGTTAGGTGCGTGTGCGTTTTATTTCTAATTTTCTTGTTTTAAGAGCAAAAAAATCAAATCTCACTTTCAGAAAAGCTAGACAAAATGTGTTGTTGTTTCTGCTTTTGTTATTGCATTTGTTTCGGTTTAATATGTGTTTTAGGACGCCGAAATTTGTGATCTCTTTGAGCGTGCTCTCGAAGTCTTAATTAAGTCTTAATGTTTTTTAAGATATGGTACCTCTAGGTCTGTTTCCTTTATCGATAAAACGCTGTAGTTTACCTTCAAACATTTGCTTTATAAAGTCAGCAGCTGTGTAAACTAATTCGTTTGTTGTTGTTTTTTTACTTCTCCAGGTGAAAAAAAGATTTCAAGTTATATTCCTACTTTCCGTTGTACTATTTATATCTGTGTAACTCGACAGGGAAACGTGTATTTTCAGCACTTTAACACCAGAACAGGCTTATACTAACTATATAACTTATTTTCGTTTCGTTGTGCTTTTGTTGAACAGAAATAGAAACTCTAAGGCGCTGGTTCTTTTATTCACCTGTTGATTCCAAAATTGTAAAATATTATAAACTAATTCGTTTGTTGATGTTTTTTTACTTCTCCAGGTGACACAAATATTTCAAGAACGGGCCTCCAGTTCTGAAAAAGAGTTTTTTCCAAGGTAAGTTATATTCCTACCTTCCGTTATACTAATTATATGTGTTTAACTCGATAGGGAAACGTGTATTTTCCAACATTTTAAAACCAGAACAGGTTTATACTAACTATATAACTTATTTTCGATTCGTTGTGCTTTTGTTGAACAGAAATAGAAACTCTGAGGCGCTGGTTCTTTTATTCACATGGTGCCTCCAAAATGATAAAATATTGTAAAATATATTATAAACTAATTCGTTTGTTGTTGTTTTTTTACGTCTCCAGGCGACAAAAAGATTTCAAGAACGGGCCTCCAGTTATGAAAATAGTTTCCAAGGTAAGTTATTTTCCTACCTTCTGTTCTATTTATGTGTGTGTAACTCGACAGTGAAAAGGTGCATTCCCAGCATTTTAACACCAGAACGATTTATGCTAACTATATATATACATACTATATATTGAATTTCTACGTGGGTGAACCTATATTCGAAATTCTGGGGTAGTGGGATTGGGATTTATGTGTGATTTCTCCTGAAGTTACTTGTTGGTTTATTGAATTTGAATTTGAGCCTGTTTTTATATTTCTTTCTTCAGGCAGCTTATTTAAAATCGTTAATAGACTTCAGAACGTCAAGTGAATCGATTCAGCAAATCCGATATCTTGTTAATTTGATCCTTTTTCTTTTGCCTTCAGTTCTGCGGCTCCTGATC